GGTTTAACATTTATGTGATATAATTGTGAGTAACATTTTGGATATACAATTTATAAGGTTCAGTTATTCAGTATTTATTTGGTTTTGAGTGAGTAAGTGAACTTTGAGAAGAGACTTGAATTTATAAACAGGTAGTGTTTCTTTTACATTTACAGGTAATGAATTCCAGATTTTAGGGCCTTTTATGTGCATTGAGTTTTTGCATAGCGTGAGATGGACACGAGGAACATCAAAGAGTGATCTGGTTCTTGTGTTATGGTCATGTGTTCTGTTGAGGTTGGCAAGGAGATGTTTGAGGGGAGGGTTAATATCAGAGTTAAGTGTTCTATGTATGTAATAGGTGCAATAATAAGTATGGATGTTTTGTATGGTGAGTAGATTGAGTGTTTTGAATATTGGTGGAGTGTGTTGCCTGTAGTGAGAATTTGTTATCATTCTAACTGCAGCCTTTTGTTGGGTAATTAGTGTCTGAGATGGTTAATTGTTGTTGAGCCCATGCACAAATTCCATAGGTGAGATAGGGGTAAATAAGAGAGTGATAAAGGGCCAGGAGGGCTGACTGTGGAACATAGTACCGTATCTTCGATAGTATGCCTACAGTCTTGGAAATTTTCTTAGAAATTTGTTGTATATGTGTACGAAATTTGAGTCTATTATCAAGGTGGATTCCTAAGAATTTTCCCTCTGTTAGCTTTGTGATAGGTGATCCGTTTATCGTTATGTTAAGAGGTACATCTGTAGCTCTGTTACCAAACTGAATGAAGTAGGTTTTGTCAATGTTTAGTGTAAGTTTGTTAGTCCTCATCCAGGTAGACATTTTCTGTAATTCGGTGTTTACAGTATTGGCTCAGTTCCCGGATAGACCTACAGGCGGCAGGTTGTGTAGCGGGCTAGCTGCGGGATTTTCAAGGATAGCTCCTGGTCAAAGAGGCTGACCAGGTCCCTACTTAACAGAACTCAGTGTGAATGCTTTGAGAAGATACCAGAGCAGCGAACGGACATCCCAGTGCATCGTTTCAGCTTAAATAGTTGAAGTGTTGTGCAGTTTCAGAGGATTTGGTGTTGTCGAGTCAGGACCAGTCAGCGCCTCCCCCCCTCTCCGCTGGGGGGGAGGGGGAGAGCATGTGTAGTAAACAGTGACCCTCTCATAACGCCTCACACCTGTGCGTCTCCCCCGCATCACCCACCCAACTCCCTGCGCCACCCCATCTGTAGAGGGTACTTCTCCCCTAACCCACGATGTCAGCGATGGCACTGCAGGGAGTGCCGGGCTCACAGGAACTTCCACTACAGGGACAGCATCGTGGAGGTCGACCGCGAGGCAGCTGTCAGGTGTGCCACAGGCAGTGTGTACTCAGTTCCTCAAGCTTCAACATCCGTGCACACGAGGGCCTGGGATCTTCAATCAACTTGGCGTCCACCAGGACGCTGACATGTCCTAGGGGAGCTCTGCATCGGGCTGTACGGAGTCACTGGCTTCTTGGACCTCTTGGGGAGGGTCGATGGTGCTCGTGCAAGCAGCAGATCCCAGGGCAACTTGCTGCTGTTTGCAATGGCTGTCTGCCGAGGGAGAGACAGGCACCTAGCAACATCTGTTGTTGGGCATTGGATGAATTCCCTACTATGTTAACTGCTCATTACTCTGTAATTTGTCTATGATTGTAATCATGTGATAACGTGTTTATCATTCATACCTTTGAAACCTGTCATGATTTTGACCAGCTCTACCTGGAGCTCATTACCTTTGTAAAATTCTCATGATTAATGTGTTTATGATTCATTACCTTTGCAATTATTCATGAGTGTGACCAGCTCTACCTGGAGCTCATTACCTTTGTAACTTGGTCATGATTATGACCAGATCTAGTTCATTACCATTGTAACTTGCTCAGCTATCAAAACTTTGGAGTCCAGTCCCTGGACCAATTATGTACCTCTGTAATCTTTTGACTACCGCCCACAGGATGGGTATGGGGTGCATAATAAACATATTAAACTAAAACTAAACAGTATTGGCTAGCGTGACTGGGCTCGGGTGAGAGAAGACGTATGTAGTGTCATCTGCAAAAAGTGTGGGTTTGAGTAATTGCGAAGCATATGGTAGGTCATTTATGTATAGGAGAAAGAGAAGAGGGCCAAGGACACTTCCCTGTGGGACACCAACTGTAATTGGTTGTGCGGAAGAGCTTGCCCCATTTGCGTACACATATTGGCTTTTGTTGCTGAGGTAAGACTTGAGGTAGTTGAGGGAGTGCCCTCTAATACCATAGTGTGACAATTTTACGTGGAGCAAGTCATGGTCAACTGTATCAAAAGCTTTACGTAAGTCAATGAAGATCCCCAGTGGGACTTCTTTTTTCTCTATTGCAGTGTATATATGTTCTAGCATGTGTATAATAGCATCATTAGTATTTTTATTAGGCCTGAATCCAAATTGGCAGGGGTTGAGAATGTTTTGGGAGATGAGGTAGGAGTAGATTCGTTTATGAATTAATTTTTCGAAGATTTTTGAGAGAGGGTGTAAATTGGATATTGGCCTATAGTTATTCAACTGTTTGGTCTCCTCCTTTATGGATCGGGGTGACCCTTGCTATTTTGAGAACTGTAGGGAAGGTGGAGGATTCAATGGATTTGTTAAAGAGTTTTTTTAGGGCAGTGCTTGTTATAAAGGTATTGGGTCTTTTTTAGAAAATTATTAAAATATTCGTCAATATCTGTATAGATTTCTAGCTCAGTGTACCAGTCAATGTTTGCTACTGCTGTTGTGAAGTTATTAATGGCTGCCTCATTGTGAAGTCTGAAGGTGACCTTAGTAGTGTCTTGGGGTATTTTACAAAGAGTTATGAGGAAAGTAGGGTAGTGGTCTGTGGTATTATCTGTAATTATGCCTGATTTTAAAGGGGATATGGTGTTGGTCCAGATGTGGTCAAGTAGGGAAACACTAGTCTCTGTAACTCTTGTAGGTTTTGTTACTGTTGGTAGTAACATACAGTTACTCATTGTGTTTGTGAATTCAGTAACGTGTGGGTCCTGGTCTTGCAGGAGATTTATACTGAAGTCACCTGAGAGTAGTAAGTGATCTTTGTTCATGACTCAATTGGCTAATATTTGATTGTGGAATTCTGTAGATGTTTATCACTGTGAGAGGTTTTTGTAGGTATTTGGATTTGAATTTAGCTATTATATATTCCCCATGTTCATCCCTTGTGCAAGTATTAGTGATACATTCTAGTTGGTCTTAGTATATAGCAGTGCCACCCCCTTGTTGGTGTGGCCTACAGTTGTGTATGGCTGTGTAACCAGGAATGGCATAGACATCTGTAGTATCAGGCTTTAGCCAGGTTTCAGTTAGTGTAATGATGGACATATTGGCATGCAAGGAATTTAGTAATGCTAGGAGGTCATCATAATGCTTGCTTAAAGATCTGATATTGTAGTTAAAGATAGTTATGTTGTTGTTGGCTCTGAGAAGTGCCTTTGATTGTTCTGTTCAGGTAGTATCGATATCAATACTGTAGACATATTAAAACCATACTAATGACCTGAGGTAATATTGTCCATAAAATCTTCGTAAAATTTTAATGTAAAACTAACGGCGCAGGCAGGCTCAGAAATATTTGTTTGTTTCCGTTTTGGAGCGCATGTGGGTTTTATATAGACACTTTTGCACAGGATATTGAGGTGTCCAATAAATTACTTGTCTTAATGGGGAGGGGGTAACAGACGTACGTGAAACCGTAAGGAAAGACATCAGGAACTTAATAAACATTCAGGATGGTGCATATGACTTATGTAAGTACGCTTGTACATACGCAGCGCCGCTCTGAGTCCTAACCAAACACTTTAAAGAAAAGATAGATTAGATTTACAGTTTTGCCACCAAAGTGGTGAAGGAGCTGAGGTATATGAATAAGAGTCAGCACACCGGGGTTGCGAGGCTGCAGAGGAAACATGATCACAAGTATAGGTATTGATATGTCGACAACGACAGACTGAAAAGGAAACCCAGATGGAAGTTAAATGCTCAAATGAGTCACAGGAATTATAGAGCCAGATTGTTTTTTTGTTAAATTATTCTTCATAAAAAAATCACATGACGCGGGTAACTGTCTTATGATGAACCCCTCAATGGCCCATTAAGAACATTTCAAAAACTATGTCAGTGCTTAAATAGTTGTGTCCTTGGCAGCACAAGGTCACCCACGACAGTCTGTGCTCGAGAACTTGGCAGTCTTCACCGCTGGTGTGCAGCTGTTGAGACGGCATGTGTATCTAGATCTCATACATGGATTTAAACGCAGGAATGCTGAAGGGTATGAGATGGGTCCAGTCAGGTGAAGGGTCCAGGAATTGGAGTTTAATCACCTTCCATGGTTAGCAAGCAACTCCATTTAACAAATTAAATATGAAAGCTAGTAATAAAATATAGCTCAAATATCTTTAATGAATATATAGTATTGTCTGCTGTAGTAGTAAAAATTATTAGTAAAATAATAACACTGGTCAACAAGGTTTATGTTGATAGTTAAAATGTGTTTCTAACTAATTTTGGGACGCTGAATTCAAATCTGAACTTAGCTTTGCTCCAACACGGACAGTTTCTCTGAAATACAACCCCCATCCTCACCATAGTTACTGTTCATCTATATTATTGTTTTTTGAGTGCTTGGTCATTTTACGGAAGATGACCTAAGGTTTTGTTTAGGGATGTGTCAAAGTATTGGCATTGGCCATTTTAATGGTATCGTTATTAATATTACACGTTACTCACATACACACGCAAACCTAAGAATAGCGTTCCGATACCTCAGTAGGGAATCGTTCAAGACTGCACACCGTGTTCGTCAGGTCCATATTGGAGTATGCATCACCAGTTTGGAACCCACATCTGGTCAAGCACGTCAAGAGATCAGAAAAAGTGCAGAGGTTTGCAACAAGACTAGTCCCAGAGCTAAGGGGAATGTCCTACGAAGAAACGTTAAGGAATAAAAACCCAGGGGTAATATTTATAGCACTGGTGCAGCATATATTTTAAGCACGATTTACAGTACATTAAAATGTATCAAAACCAGGCATGGTCACTGCACACAATATCAATTGGCTCGTCACTGAATGCACAAGTGACTTTAAACCCTGCCTAACACTAAATGTAACACATCAACTTTATGCTTATATACATCTACTTTCTTTTCTTAGCCACTGTACTTGATGTCAATATTACCATATAATTAATAATCAACATTAGACACATAATGCCACTGTAGCAACACTTAGCTCTACTCTGATCACTAAATTACACTATCTCATTGCTTCCGATGCCGACTTCCGCATTACCTGGCTTACTGCTTTCTGGGCATTTCCTGGTTGAACTACTTGCTGACTTCCTGGTTTCCCAACCGACTGTTTACTGCCTGGCCCATCTCTATTGATGGGTTTATTAGGTTCAAAGCCTATCGACTATACGAGATTTAAAGTTCCATGTCAACTGTATACCATCTGCTAAGAGTACCTTAGTGCATTGCCAGCTCGGTGTTCCATGTACATAATTATTTTTTTATTAATTTATTAAAAAAATCAGGTATAACTAAATATAGCTCACTGACGGGGCCAGCCACATAAATCCAATTATTATTATATTATAATAAAAAAGAAGCGCTAAGCCAACATAAATCCAAGCTTTCTTATAAACTAATCATAGAAGCTCTTATGTCATAACCCACCACTGGCTCAAACCAGTGATGAACTCTAGCCTGCTACGCTGCCGTTGTCTTTTTTTTTCTTATTCGCCGGTATTCTCCCGGCCCGGGTCTTTTCCAAGTAGTGGCGTGTCTACTATCAGTCTAAGTCAAAGCCAAAGTTTATTTCCACATGATACATTGTTTATACATAAATGAGTAACACTTGAATGTATGCAGAAAACCCATGGTTATACATGTAGAGCATTTCGGGCGAGTTCATGTAATTGCTCTTCATATATTTAACTCTCTTTTACTATCTTTCCCCTTTTTTACTTTATCTCTCTCCTATTTCTTTTCCTGCCTAATTTTCTATTGTTTTTGTTTTGATTTTACTTTCTTCCTCTTTCACAAACTTATTATTCCTACATTTCTCACTAGCTTATTTCCTCCTGCTTGCATATTTATGACACGAAATCGTAATAACAGGATTGCAAACAAATCACAGAACGGGTGGGGCTCGAATCCATGGTAAGCCACGCTGGTGTGAGATTCATCTGTAAAAACCTGCATTTGTGGTCACAGTGGAGTCCATGTTAACCTAGCTTGTTGAACCTTGTTAGGCCGGCATGGACTGGTGGATAACACACTGGCCTGCGAGTTTTATGACTCGTTTACCATAGGTTCGAACCGCATCGGTTCTGTGATATGATTTGCCTATTCATCATGGGTCGACGTAGTGGTGGGGAGGAGGTGGTGGTGGAGCGCCAGAATGAGTGCTCCCTTCAGTGCTGGGGTGGCCTCCTCCACTACCCACTTGGCCTCCCTCTCCCTCTCCTTCCCTTCCTTCCTGCACTTGCTAGACTCGGATGCAACGCAGTTTACTGGAAGAAAAAAAAAGTTAATTTATTCAACATTGCTAGGAACACTGTAAATAGTTATAAAATATCAACATTTCAGGAGTGCGATTATTTATACAAGCCAGGCACATTCCTCTAGCAGTATGTTTAAGTAGGATTATTATGTATGATTATCAGTAGTTGAGTTTCGAGAAGAGGGAAGGGAAGGGTTTGAGTGGCTGTCCATAAAGTTCTAAATGTGTGTGAATATTCCCATTCTTCCCGGAGAAAACCATACTGAGCATAGATCCCAGGAGACAGAGCTCCTCCTTCACCTACTCCGTTCCATCCACTTCTATACCTACTCCATTCTATTTACTTCCCAACCTATTCTCCCCCACACCTCTCTCGAGTTAACCGTGACCAGACACTCTTCCGTCCACCCTATCTCCATCAAACTATTCTCCATCCTCTAGTAAACCCTTTTTGACACTTCCCTTCGTCAGGAGCATGATGTTCTCTCCTACTGCAAGGGAGACCTGACTAGACGGGCTTAAAATAATGCAAGTCACAATGTCCTAGCCAGAATAATTCATAACTTGCCACACAACGGAAATAAAAACAGGATATTTTGGTCTATAATTGACCACTATTAGGCCAAGACTGAGTAAGGGGGAGGGGGGGGGGGGGGAATGGCAGCACCCATCTCCTCGGTGGGACGGGGCAGGTCGATTATTAAGGTGGATATGAGGTTGGGAATAGTAGTGGTGGTGATGGTGGTGGCGAGCAGCTGAATGGGAGACCTTGGGATTGTGCGCTGTACGCATGCATTTGAGGTGACGACCTCCAAGACCAACCCGACTTCCTCGAGGAAATCTCGCAGCCAAGCTCTACCAGTGGACCTCAGAGGAAACTATACTCGGGAAATCGCAGGGGTGACTGTCCTGAGAAAATTCAACAAGGGTACCTCCCAGAGGTAACCCTACAGGGAAAACAGTGCTGGAGAAAGCCTACAGGAGCTTCTCTTTACCTTTATTTCCAGCACTAGGTTAAGTTCAGCTTAATATCTTTATTATGCACCCATACCCACCCTATGGGACACATATTGATCACCAAACTTTGTAGCCAAGGTACATTAGTAATAACTATTTAAATTTTTTTATATCTGATTACAATCGCAACAAGTTATTTTTATACAGACATGAATTAAGTCACAAAAATATTAGTGTAGTAGGTATGTGGATTTTAATTATTTATATTACTTTATATTTTAACAACGTATGGTTAAAATTAAACACGTTTAAGTGGTTATGAGTTATTCTCGATGGGCAGTCAGGGTATTTTTCCAGAAATGTTTATAATATGCAACTCTAGATAAAATACTTCGACATTTCTCATACATTTGTGAGTGAGATTAGATTTTGCCACCGAAGTGGCTAGTTTATTGTGCACCCCATATCCATCCTGTGGACGGTAGCGCGAGAGCATGTGGATACACAAAAGGCCTAGGAACTAGGCCCCAAAGGGTTAACAGGAATACCTATGGATTTATATCTACATATCTATAGTTCACTTATCTGTTACAAGCAAATTTAGAAAATTTGCTTAGTATATCTGGTATCTTATTTTCATTAATAAGATATCTTGACATGTCACATAGGTTTATTATACTGTCTGTCTCTGTATTCCTCAATAGTGGACAATTAAGCACATAGTGTTCAAAAGAGTGACCATATGCCTGATCACATAATTTACATTTTTGTTTGATCATCATCTGTGTGTCTCCCAAACTGCCAGAATTTCTTGTAACCAAGCCTAAGCCTGGCCACTACACATCAGTTTAGTTCTGTTCACCTTGCAAGTTGCTCCATAAAATTTCTTACTACGTTCATGTTATCATAGTGGGTTATAGAAACTATCAGGCTTCTAACTGCATTCCTATAACAATCATCTTCATTATTTACTTCTCTCCTAATATTTTCCTAAAGCTAGACACAGTTATACCAAAGTTATTCTACGTTCTCCCGGATACTCTTCTTGGCTAACATTTCAACTTTATCATGAAGGGTAATCCAATGTGTGATGGGATCCATAGCAATTGTACATTAATTCCTTTGTCCCTAATTTTGGAGTATCTATACCTGGCTTCCCAATGACATGGGTTGGGTTTGGGGTCATTATATGAGCCAAGAGCCTTCAATGATGACATAGAATCAGTAATGATGATAGAGTCAAGCTCAGGTCATAGGTTAGCTTTAGCGCCATTAGGATTGCAAACAATTCAGTTTGCGTGTAGACGCCCAGTTGTTAATTCTTATCCTAACTCAACAATTTTTTTATCGTTCTTAACTAGGGAGGTGGCAACAAGAGCAGATGCAGCCCTGCCCGAAGACTCCCGTTTAGATCCCTCAGTGTATATAACTTGTGATAACTTATTACTACCAGCTAGGCGAAAAATTTCTTCTTGAGCAGTTGCTCTAACAAGAGATTTAAGGAAGGGATTACTAGCAATGAGCTTCTTGGGAGGGACTTGTAGGTATGTGATATTAAATTTAACACATCTTCCATGGAGGGGTGAAATGCTCTTGTTGCCTACAGTGATACAGTTCATGCAGGTTATAAAACTTAATGCAATTGCACGTTTTCACAATCCATTTAGATCTGTGTTTTATTTACCTCTAGACACTTGGTAAGATTCACTGTGACAGTGTCTGGTTCGTTTCTCACATTCTAATACCGAGTACAGTGTTAATTTCAACAATCCTATCACTGATACTAGAAATACCAAGCTCCTTCCTCATGTAAGAACTTTTTAGATCTGGGACAGCCAAGAATAGTCCTGAGAGCTTCATTTTGCATTAACTCCAAGGGTCGGAGAGAACTTTCTCTAGCTAATATCAACATGGGAGCAGCATAATCAATTAAGGACCTAACATAGGCTATGTACATCATTCTCACGATTCTCACATTAGCACCATAGTTGGGATTGTAGCCAGCAACAGCTTTGAGAGCATTTAGCTAGCTTTACATTTCTTGTTTAGTTGTGGTATAGTGGATTTGTTAAAGGGTACATCTACACCAAGATATCTGTAAGTTTTAACGTAGCTAATGATTTCACCCTGCAAATAGATGGGTGGGGGATGTCGTTTGCTTTTTAAATTATCTTTGTTTTAGAGGAAGATATTATGAGGCCTAGTCGATTACAAATTGCTTGAACTTCATTAAGAATGGTAAATTTATCTTCTTATGCCCTGTTGTATGGATCATGATATCATCAGCATAGCTTATAGCTATTGTTTAGGTGAGGCAGGTAGAGCATTTAGGAGAGCATTAATCAGAATATTAAATAGCATGGGCTAAGAACTCCTCCCTGCGGTGTACCTAAAGACATTTCTTTAGAAAACACTTCTGAGCCTTGGTAAAGGACAGAGGATACTCTTTTTTGCAGGTATCCTATTATCCAGCAGAGTAAGCTACCACCAATATTCATTTTGGCTAGTTCTATATATAACGGGTTTTGTTTGCAATATCAAATGCAGATTTTAGTTCCCAAAAAAAGTGGTAAAACTAGTAGAGGTTTTGTGCAGTGAGAAAGGGGGAAATACAGTTCTGCACACTTTTACCTTTCAAGAACACATAGAGGTAGGGGGGAAAGTTGATGTCTGATTTGTTTGTACAATCTGTTAAACATCATTCTTTCAAAGTTTTGCAAAGACAACTAGTTAAGGAGATCGGCCTAAATGTATCAGGCTGTTGGGGCTTAGGGATAGGCACTATGAGACTATTGGTCCAGGAAGTAGGAAGAACGCCCTCAATGTAACTGAGATTATACAGTGCCAACAAAGGGTTATCAGGCACGTGCCTTAGAGTTCTGAGAATATCATAGGTTATACCATCCTCTCCAGGAGCAGTTGATCGACCTTTGGTTAATGCATTATCTAATTCATACTCGGTAAAGAGGCAATCACTCTCATCAAGTGAGTGAGTTGTCTCTGAATTCAATCATTTTATCGCATTCCATCACATAACGACACATGGTGTGACAATAGTCACTGACAAAGTTTACATTTAGTTATGTCTACATCAGTTGGTGATGCAACCTTCCAGAGACACTTGTAGCCCAGCTGAAGCCACTAAGTATTGACATCCAAGACTGATGATTTTGTTGGATGTACCATAACATGTGGCTCCTGCAAGATAGAATGATGACAGATGGACTGACTGCTGTTAATTTCCTTGGGCTGGGTGGAATGTGTGAGTGGGGGTTGGTGTGAGAGGAGAAATGGAGGTCTCACCTGTGGGTGGAGGTGGATAGAGGAATTTCGAGATGAGGGCACTGTGGGCGGAGGTAGGAGGTGGAGGGAGGTGGTCTCCTCAGCCTCTGACTGACAGCCTCTCTCGTACGCCTCTTTCACTTCACTGCTGCTCAGACCACACCTGTGGAGTACAATAATGCGACAGTACTGTACTGTTGTTGCTGCATCTCTATTCTCCCCCTCATGATTCGAAATGACTTGAGTGTGTCTTGTACGTGTTTGACAGTTAAAATACTTGCACTCCGACGCACCTAATGAAGAACTCGAGGGAAGGTCGCCCTCCAGCTTCCATATTGAGAAGGACCCCTAGAAGTGTAATATCTCTCAGCTGCTCTTTAGGGATGCCAACTTCGTCCTCCACCTCCTGAGCTGCTGAACTCCACACCTGAAGGAACACAGAGGAGGGTTGGATTTTTTAAAAGTTCATTTAATTAAAGAGGCTCATAATACTAAAGTGCCATAGAGACCACAGCCATGTTCACATTAAGATGTGAGATAGGGTAATAAATACAGACAATAGTAAAGATAACTGCAGGTATTGAAAAAAACATGTATGTCCAGGATAGGTTTTAGGGACGGAAAAAGTCAGATACGTTATTAAAGGGATGAAAGTTAAGACACGTGTGGAACATCTGGTTATCTTTATTGTAGGCGTTTCGCCATCCAGTGGCTTTATCAATATAGATTCTAGAACATAAATAGAAGACAGTAGAACTATATACAAAAGATGAAGTAATCAGTCCCTCAGCCTTGGAGTTGCTGTGGAGAGCACTGTAGTTGTAGAGATTCTGGTTCCATGATGTTGCAGTATCTGACAAGTTGTGCAAGAAAGGTAAGAAAGGTATACAATACCGTATTGTGTACCTTTCTCGCACAACTGCGTTATTAAAGTGGTTCGCGCTGAAGGACCTTTACGTGTTTAGTGCTTTTCATGATAATATAAAGGAGTAAGAAATTGTTGTGTAGATGATTAAGTGATAGCTGATCCTACCTTGCTACCACTGCTACTAAATTACCAGCCACCTCTTGCTCCTCAATCTCTAGCCCTCTCGCTCCCATATCACTCCCACTTTCCTAACTGTTGGAGTGTGAGCAAAGTAACATTTATGAAGGGATTCAAGGAAACCGGTTTGCCGGACTTCACTTCTGGCGGTGAGAAGTACAGTGCCTGCAGTCTGAAGGGGTGGAGATATGTTGCAGTTTTTTTTAGCTGTAGTGTAGGCACGCCTCTGGCAAGACAGTGATGGAGTGAATGATGATGAAAGTGTTTCTTCTTTTACGGGTCACCCTGCCTAAGTTCATCACTCCCTCTCACTGTGCTAGGAAAAACTGTCACAATCAATCCTAATTTAATATACATTAATGGTATACAATATTGACAAGTAGACTAATTAGAAACGTGTGAAACACCTGGATATCTTTATTTTCAAGACATTTCGCCAACCAGTGGCTTTTTTCAATGCTTTCAACTGGTGTACCTCATCTGCGTCCATTATCAGCGTTTTTCTTCCTGCATATACTTCAGGATCATCAAAACTAATGTGGTAAACACCTATCTTCTAAGCTGAAGGACTTATTACATCATCTTGTACTGTCTCTGTAATGAAACGATGGAGAGACAAAAATGCATATCTGCACATCACTACGCTCAGTTTTATATATATATATAT